AACGGTGCTGCCAACTTTGGAAAAAGTCATCCCAATTTACTGTGTTGACTTGGCATTGTACAGAAATGGACAACCATATTGGTCTAGAAATGTTAATTTATTTTTATTTTTTTTTTTTTTCATGTGTACAGGGGTAACACATCATACTAAATATGTAAGGTCATATCTACGTGGGTTTGATTACAGAAACTAATAAAGTATTCTCTAAATAATGAAAAAAAGAATAAGATAAGACTATAAGAGCGAGAAGCAATTTAAATATGTTCAGGGACCATTTTCATCTCCAGAATTAAGGATTATTTTGATGTTACATCATTGCCTTTTCTCTTTTACTTTCCTTTTTAGTTTTATTTTAGGATTCCCTATTTTTAATGTTCATACAGAGATTTCTTTAACTGAAATACTGAATAGTTTCTTTGGTGTGAAAAACTATAAAAGTACACAGGATCCTAATGAGACAATTAATAATGTGAAATAGGAAGTAAAGGGCTAAAGGTGTAAGGAAAGTGGGAAGGGTGGGGGAGAGGTAATAAGGGAGAGGAAAAAAATATGAGAAACTGAAAAAATGGAAATAAAATGTTTGTAAATGGGGAGGGGAGGGGGGGTGAAGAGAGGGCAGGGACAAGGGGAAAAATGAGAATCAAGACCTATTATGTAAAGGTACAGAATCCCAATGATGAATGTAATTGTATTGTATACCTAGATTGTACCAATAACCTCAATAAAAAGAAAAAAAAATTAAAAAAAAATAATTATTGTTCTATTAATATTTTCCACAGGCTAATTTTGATGTTTTACATTTAGGAATATATTATTGTTCATAAATGTATTTCATTATTATAATTCTTTCATCTTTATTATTGAAAAGTAGTTATTTCTTCTACTATAGTCTATAGTTTACCTCTCTGTCTTTATAGTTTACCAGCCATCTATTTATCTCATCTCTCCAAATAGCTAGTTTTTTATTAATCTTCCATAAAGACAACTTATAAAAGTTATAGTAAACCTCCATATCAATAAGTCTAAAAAATATAATTAAAAACATGCCACATACAATAGTTGGAAGTATTCAGGAATTAACTGTCAAAAACATATATAAATCTCTTATAAGAAAAACACTTTAAACACTAATAAAACACAAAGATGATCTCAGTAAGTGAAGATACTTTACATGTTCATAGGTGGTATACTTTAACATGCCAGTGAGTCCCAAATTAATATCTATATTCACTTATATCTGAATTAAAATTATAACTCATACTTTTGGGGGACTGAGTAGATTTATTCTAAAATGTACAGGACAGACTAAAGATCCAAGGCTAGCTATGTTAAATGTGAGAAGAAAAGTAACAGTGAGGGCCTACCCAACAGATAGAAGCCTTACTACAGAACCACAGGCCTATGACAACACTGGGCTGCTGTGACAGAAGACCAACAAATCCGAATAGTTCAGACACAGAGCCCTGAGCCTTGAGAGTGCACTGCACAAAACGATAGCACTTCAGAATCAACCAGGAAGTGAGGAAGTTTTTAATGGGTGGTGTGCTAAAGCTTGACTTACTATGTGGGAGTGGAAAAAATCCCACCTGGAATCCTAATACTTAGACAAAGGAAGACTCTGAACTGGGGTTGAACTGTGGGTGGTCTGTTTTGGCAAGAAAACATTTTTATTGGCACAAGCTCTGCCTATCCTTTTGTATGCCTCTGTCTGCTTTTGTGCCACAGCGGCAGAAATGAACAGTTGTGATAGAGACCATTGGCCCAGAAAGTCTAAAATATTTACAATCTGGCCCTTTAAGAAAATGTTTGCTAACTCCAGATCTAGATAAAGAACCTAATATAAAACATAAAACAGAAGAAAATATATCAGGGTATCTTTTGACCTTGATATGAGAAATAACTTCTTAAACGGAGTCCTAATTAGGAAAAAAAAATAAGGAAAAAAAAAAACTCTTTAAACTGATTACCCTGAAATGAAGCATTTTTACTCAATAAATGACACCATGGATGAAAATAACTGATCAAATACTGAAAGAGTTACTTGCAAAGTCCAAGTCCAACAAGAGAACAATCTATAATACATGAGAAACACCTGTAATTTAATAAGGAAACAAAAGCATTCAAAGAGAATCACAGAATTTAAAGAAGCAAAGTGCAGAAAAGAAAATCTAAATATACAACAAGCATAGGAAGCGATGCTGCTCCTCATTAGTACACAGAGAAATGTAAGTAAGCCAATGATGAGATGTCAATGTACATGTGCAGTCCGGCTGAAATGAAAGCGCTAATGGTTAGACACGATAGAAAGGAACTCAGTTTATATCACTTCTGACATGAATCACCAATATAAACCAAAGGTAAAAAAAGATCACTCTCTTTTAGTGTACGTGCTGCTGAAGCAAGCACAAGATCACTCTCTTTTAGAAATAAAACCCCAGAAGCAGCAAATATAACAGATAAGTACCAAACTGATTCAATTAGCATCTTATTGAATACTCACAGTTGTTTGCTGAATGAATAGATAGCTAATCTGTATCTATAGACATGCAGACTAATATGAGTAGACAGCTCCAAGTGACCCAAAACTCACAATTTGCTTAAAGAAAATAAATACAGGGCCATCCGTGGATTTAGCTCAGTGGTGCCGACACCTGCCTTGCAAGTGCAAGGTCCAAAGTTTGATCACCATTACCAGAAAATAAATATACACACTAACTCTAAATTCATGTTTACTAGTTTTAATTCAAGTCTTTTCAAGTCATAAAATTAGTGAGAAAAATTTAAATATTTTATTAATGTAGGCATGAATTTTCCTTGAAATTGTGTCAGATACATATTTTCAAAGAGTTTAAATTGTAACAAGGCAGTTTCTAAAATCACTGGCTTAAGGGAAAGGAAAAAAATAGGAGAAAATGAAAAAATGGAAATAAAGTGTTTGTAAATGGGGAGGGGAAAAGGGGGTGAAGGGAGGGCAGGGATAAGAGGAAAATATGAGAACCAAGACCTGTCATGTAGAGGTACAAGATCCCAATAATGACTATAACTGTGTATACCTAGAATGTACCAATAAACTCAATGAGGAGAAAAAAAAAATAAATAAAATCACTGGCTTATTTTATTCTTGACTGAATTTAAAGTGGGATATGTGCATGTATGTGTATGTGTCATTAGAAATAAATGGAAGTAAATTACATTTCTCACACACTCTTCAAAGTTTTACAAAAAATGTGAATGCGGGCAAGCTGTTCCTACGCCGTCCCTCCTCTGTGTGTGGTTCCAGCAGTTGCCAACAAAGGCAGCCCTTTCCCCTCTCTCTCAATGCCACCACAGTGAATAATAACTGATTTGGATTTGTTGTCCTCTGTCACAGCTCTTACACCAACTCCTTCCTTTTCAACCCACAGCCATTACTCTAGATCAGCTCCGGGTCTCAAGCTTAGAAGCTTATTAATACCTCCCAGTTCCTCTTTCTTCTCCTGTATTTTTCCTTTCTTGCCTCTTGCCATTCTTTCCTTTATTCTTTATTATTCTCTTCATTCATCCCAACAGTACACTTTAGGCATCTATTCTCTTCTGTACTGTTTTATTATTGGAAGTACAGTGGTGATATAGACAAAATCCCTACTCTTTCTGAGTATTCTCTTGGTTCTTTAAACATATTCTATGTTCAACCATAAAACAGATTTTCCCATTGAACTGCTCTGTCTCTTTCCCATCCCATTCAAAAATACCCACTTATTTTCCATGGCCTGCAAAATAAAAGTCCAAACCTTCTGGCTGGTCCCCCAAGACCCTCAAGGATCTGGTTCCATTCTCTTTTCAGCTGAATCCCCTATGTCTCATTATGTATATCATGAGCTTCAGCTAAACCTGAGTCTTTATTTTAAGCCTCAACTATCACAGAATGAGGCAGTACTAAACTAAATGCAGACAGAACAAAAGCACGTACAAAAACTCAATAGAAGATAGCACAGAAAATCCAAATAGCAAATAATGAAAGGATGAGAAAAGACATATTCTTTTTTCCCTGCAAGTATTTTATAATCATCCTCTTAGTGCCAGGGGACGTACCCAGAAGACTTTCCTCTCATGGCAAGAGGAATCAATCATCAATCACTTGGATCAGGCGAAGGAGGGAGGCCCTTAAACTATGAAGATAAAGTCTTCCCCTTAATTCTGGGGCAACAATTCACAAAAAGGAAGAAGCCCTTCATGGAGAGCCCAAAACAGCAGGGCAGCAGTGAGCTGCCCAGACATATGGAAACAGGCCAGAAGCAAATGCAATGGAAGCCTCTGTTGCTCAGTGTGGGGACAGAGTGAGTAGCAGCACAGAGAAGGAACAGCTGCTGCACAGCCATGTTGAGAGCGCAGCTGTGGTCCTCTCCTTCTCAGGAGGACACATCTAAGCTCTGCTCAAGTAGCAGCTGCAGAAACCCGGGCTAACTCCGTGAAGGCAAGCCGGGAGCTGGGGCCTGAGTTTAAGTCAAGAGGAGAAAACATGAGGGGAACAGACCCGGAGACCTGTAGGAAAGTACAAAGGGCAGCAGCAGAACACTTGCAGATCATTGGAGGACCCTCAGTTCTAGCAGGCCAGAAAGACGTGTGTCATCACAATTTGTGTATAAAAGAACTGCAATTATGTTTTGTCATCACAGAAAGATGACACAAAGGACCTAAGGGCTATACCTTCACTTTTTAAATGACAGTTACATTTTGGTACCTACCTTTCTTCATTAGATAGTAAGCAACTTTAAAAGCAAAAAATACATTCACTGTAGGATAAATTTTCCCAGTGGATTTCCAGATTTTTCTATTTCCCACAAAACCTTGCATAGTGACAAATACTGTTCAATGAGTAAATCATCACCTTTACCATAGAGGTGACAGTTGTAACATACTGAAGAATATTTCACATGAAAGATGACACTAATGTTACATTTATAAGACAGTAAGAACAGTGCATAAAAAACTGTGTCCTTAGCGAAATCAAGTCAACTCACTAGTAATCATCGCTCCGGTGACAGAGGCCAGAAAGCCGACGCTGATAGCGATGACGGAGATCACTCTTCCGTGCCTGTGCCTCTGCAGCATCACAAACATCAACACCCCCGCAGCACCATGGACAAACAGGGAGGAGAAGAGAGCCCAGAGAAAGATCCAGTACCACATCTCTGAAAGGAAAAGCGGAGTGTTAATCAGTCCACTGGGATCCACCTTGGAAAATCCAGTGAACAGCAGGGAGCATCCGGGATTAGGGGAAGGTTAAGTGAGAGACCGCATCTGGCATGCCTAGCACAGGACCGACACGAAGGGGTACTAGTGAGTCGCCACCGACATCATCCTCAGCACTAGTGTTGATGATTCTCTCCACAATCTCAGAAGGCTAAGGCCACATTCTAACTTCCTCTGCATGTCCCCACTGTTCAGCTATCTCCATCCATCGTCGCCTAAACCCTATTCACCTGCAAACCTCTTGGAACTAACTATAAAAGTTAATTTATTTCCATTTGATATAAACTTTCTTTTTACACTAAAGAGCAGGGTTACGATGTTTTTAAAAACATTGCCTAATTCATTTCAGAGATCAATGATTTTTATCTGTTATGACTTTAAGATTTCCGTGCAATTCCCCTTGTGGCCCTCCACCTAGCACACTACAGGTGTTTTTACTTATTTTGCCTCTGGTCATCCTAACAGTGCTTCCCATAACTTTTGCAACTACATTCTTTCGTTCAGCATGTCCTCAATCATCTGTTCACTGATGTTTCAGTTCATTAACAATGGACAAGCACTACTTTCAGTGTCCCTCTAGCATTCATTCTGTTTGCTCAGGTATCCTCCTGTCTCCCAGTCAATCCCCAGATTTCCCATTGATACTGATGGGAATTCCTACAGAGCCTCCTTCTTCCTGCCATACTTGTGATGGACAATAGCCCAGTAATTATTCCATGCTGGGCCTATCATTCTCTTCCCCTGAGAATTTTAGATTGGGACCAACTGAGTCTCCTTAGCCTTTGGGTAGCTAAAGCGGAAGCCATCTCTTCATCATACTATGAAAGCCACAATGCAGGAAAAAAAGGAAAAATGAATCCACCAAAGACTAGTAGCAGCCAAATCCCTTATTCTAGTGATTTCTAAGGCCTGTTACATTGCGCCCCTTACATACAACACAGCATCTCAGTTTACTTACAACAAAAATCCCTCTTTTTATTTAAACAGGCTCAAGTAAGGTTTCTGTTACTTATAACTGAAAGAATGGACTCCAAAAATGCATACTTGTCCCCTAGAGGATTATTCCTGGTATACAAACACTCTATAATGCACTCTACAATCTCATCTGCTATGTCCTAATGGGTCACTCTGTCCAGTGTAAAAGTCAGTAAGGTAGTCATTAAAAAGCACAAAAATGAATTAAAATAAATTCATCCAAACATGAAGCCAGAATATTAGCTGTAGGAGCTGCAGAGGTGAGAATGGGGAGCTGTTGGATCTAAAAGGACCAGAGTTTCAGTTGTGCAAGCTTTAAAGGATTTGGAGATCTGCTGCAAAAACAATGAGAATATACACAACATTTATCAAACACTTAAAATGATAACTTCGGGCCGGGGATTGAGCTCAGTGGTTCTGCTGCCTGCCTTGCAAGCGCAAAGACCCAAGTTCGATCCCCGGTACCAAAAAAATAAATAAATAAAATAAAATGGTAACTTCTATGCTGTGTTACAGAAATATATGTCGCTCTTGTCCCTGGTTCCCAGCAGAGAATGTCTTTACACTTTCCTGACAGTCAGAGGCGTTTTCCTTATTTATAATGAGTCTTCCGATGACAGAGTTTATGCTAATGAAGTGACAAGGTGAGGGCTCCTCTACAGCCTCAGCACTGGACTGGGCACCAAGAAGACCCAGTGAGTACAGGGCTGGAGCTGTCAGCCCATTGTCAACCTCTAGAAAGGAAGGAGTGGCTGGAGACTGGGCCCGTAGGAACTCATGAACTACTAAGTCTGGTGTGCTCTGGGTCACTCAGCACACACTGGTACCACAAGGCCGATGTGCACAGAAGACATAGCACCTCCTTAACTCCCATCCTGTCAGCCCTGTCCCATGCATGTCTTTCACCTGCAGGTTTCCAAGTTGTGTCCTTTATAATAAATGGGTAAGAGCAAATGAGTGGTCTCCTGAGAGCCATTATAGAACATTTTCAAAGCCCATGGGAGGGGCACAGGAATCTCTATTTACAGAGATTCGGACTAGAATGGCATCTGAAGAAGAAACAGCCCCGTGGGACTGAGGCCCAAATTTGTGAAATCTGATGACTGAATCCAGCAATCAAGCTGGTGTTCTGGAGAACTGCCTGCTGTGGAAAAAACACGTATCTGGTCACTGAATTATTCTGTAGGAGGGTAGAGGAAACACTTCATGGGTTTCATCATATATGGGTCATTAAACCACTATTTATGTAAAAAAAATTAAAACACGAATATAAATTTAAAACAAGTCAAGATCATAAGTGACAGAAAGTTAACAAAAATTGTCTTAAAAATTAGAGAGGTGTTGTTACAGAAGGGCAACAGAAGAGATCTTTGTGGCAATGGGACTGCTGTGTAGTGAGGCTATGATGGTGGGTATGCAGATGAGTGATACAACTGTCTGGAACTAAAGACACACACAAGTCAGTGTCAATATACACGTAATACTGCTGAAGTCTGAATAAGGATGGCACATTGTATCAATGTCAATATCCTACTTATGATGTTACATTGTGGTTTTTCAAGGAATTCCCATTGGGTAAACTGGATAAATGGTATAAAGGCTATGTATTATTCCTTAACTGCTGAATGTAAATGCTACAATTACATCAAAATAAAAAGTTTAATTTAAAAAGGAAGGAGGGAATATGGAAAACAAGCTTTATCTTGCCATACTCATAACATCTGGCATACAGAATTAACTCAAATAATTTGAAGTTATTTCAAAGAAGAGACATCTGATCTATGTACTTTACAACATGTGTTAAAATACCATGCAGCCTTCCTAACGGTGTAAGAGTCAGACACTAGTGATTAAGGAAAACAGATAAAGCTTGCCTTTTAAACAGTTTTTTCTTTCAGCTTTCAGAGAAATACTGCTTTACCATAAGATTGTCACTTCCGAATAGCTTTAATTTATTTTATAATAAGTGTGTTAAAAATTAAAAAGCTTAACTTGCTCAGAAGATATTTCTATATTAAAAGACACACTTTGCCAAAGTGAGCTTACTGAAGTGAGACTACAAGGATGCAATAATATAAAGGGTGAGGGGAGAAATTTTCATCATGGCGCTCTTTCCAAGTCTTTCTCTGAGGCAAGCAAGGACGCTTAGCCTGGTACTCTTCCATAAGAGAAGTCAAGGATTTGCCTTGTATCCCAAGCCTGCTTAGGAAAGCTTCAAAGATCTCCCCCGACACAAGGCCTTTTGTTTGTTGTTCTTGTAATACAATTAAAGGGAATAATTTCTTAACTGTATTTAACACTAAGAATAAGGCATTATCTGACACCATAAAAAGCAGTATTGTTTGCCTATTGAATGTACTATTCTGGACCTCAACAATAAACATACCTAATAACAAGGAAAAGAATATTTTTAAGTTTAATATTTTATAAAGATCCAAGATTGAAAAATATCATACAACTAAAATGGACTCTTAAGTGATGACCAGTCTACATTATCTCAAGCAGACTGACCCTGAACAAATGACCCTGAACTCAAGGTTTCTTTCATGCTTGTTCTTAAAAAAAAAAAGGCATACTGTACTGTTTATCGTGGAAAAAACTGAACTCTGCTGAGACTATTTCACCCCACTATGCTTCATTTACCACCATTACTTTGAATGGCCCACTAGATCAATGTAACCTTACACAAGCAGGGCCTCCAGAGGTCCTGGCCTCTCCAGGTAAGCGTGTCTGATGGAGGATCCTCTCACACTTGGTGATCACATGAAACCTAGGGCTGGTTCAGATGAAGAGAACTGCAGGACCACACAGATGAAGAAAAAGTGTTCCAGAGCTCAGGAGAAGAACAGGCTACTAAGAGGGCCAGAGGAGAATATCACAGAGCCTGTCTTACTTAATCTGGGGGACTCAGTGAACACTGTCTCTCTATGATGGATTCCGTTGAAGAATTTCTCCCTGGATGATTATATTAAAATCTACTAAACCTAAAACTAAAACATCATATTAGTTAACAGGAAGTTTTTCCGAAGTATGCATTAGAGTACAGACATGATGATACTTGATTCTGTGGTTAAAATAGGATTTTTTGATTTGCAAGTAATGCCTTGGACCACCAAGCACATGGGATGCAGTTCAGAGCAATACTGGCTTAGCTTGAGACAAGAAATGGTGGATCTTGAATCAGAATTTGAAGACTCTGACCCAACCATCTAGACTGCACAGCTAAAGTGAACACCAAAGGCCCATGATTTTCTCTGTCTACACTCCACCTAGTCCAAGTGTCTAGAAGCTTGGCAACAGCAAAGGAAACCAGAAGATGACTCCGCTAGTGCTAATAAAACATTTAAAAAATGAAAGCCGGGCATGGCGGCGCACACCTGTAATCCCAGCACTCGGGAGGCTGAGACAGTAGGATCACTGTGAGTTCGAGACCAACCTGGACCACACCAAGTTCCAGGTCAGTCTCAACTACATAGTGAGACCCTGTCTCAAAAAGACAAAAACAAAAAAAAATTTAAAACATGAAACACACAGAGCTGGGGATTTAGCTCAGTGGTTCTGCTATCTAGCTCACAAGTGCAAGGACCCAAGTTCACCGGCACCAAAACAAAAAAAAAAAAAAAAAAAAAAAAAGAAAGAAATACACAAAGTCACAGGCACTGTAAAGCTCCTCTTGCATACAATCACTTTAATCCATGGGAAAGAATATACCTTCTTCCTGGGTACATCTCACAAAGCCTTCTTGGTAGTTTTACCTTGCAAGGATGTCTATAATTTCCATCTTAATATAATTCTGCCTGGGTTGTTACAGTGTGTTCATTTACTTTTTGGTAAGATAACAGATAGAAGAGTCATGATTTGTTCCAGCCTCCAAATAATACTAGAAATAGCTCTGTTCCTAATCTACAATGCTCACCAGCCCTGGTTACAAAGTCACTCACCAATTATTTTCTGTGCTTTTGTT